CTGGCTCCCATCTGAACATCTACCTATCTATCCATCTATCTGTCTATCCGTCTACCAATCTATCCATCTATCTGTCAATCCGTCTACCAATCTATCCATCAATCTGTATATCTGGCTGGCTAGCGATGCAAAATTCGACGTGGGGATCTGAATGTGTGTCACCGACTCCCTGAGTTCCCTTTTGAAATCTGGCGACCGTGACCAACCTATGTTAATCCCATACCCCAGACCATTCCCTCTGTCAATGTGGGTCAATGTAGCCACAAGATCTGATCTCCAACTTTGGACCAACAGACTTTGCATGAGGACTGATTTCGAGAGCAGGAAAGACATTGGCTGGTTGGAGTCAGCCCAAGTTAAATGCCTTTAGAAATATAAGCAGTCATTAATGTCCCCCCATGTCATTTTTGTGGAGTTAAGCGCGAAATATATGACGTGACTTCCCAAGAGTTTTTAGTGATCGTAATGATATATCTTCTGAGAGATTCATACAGTTGTATCAGTGCTTGTAAATAATACATTTTCTAAAGCAAAGAGGGGAAGGATTTGGATGAGGACGGGAAGAGAGAAAAAGTGGAGGGTGAGGGGGGCGAAGAGGGAGATGTAGGGTAGAAGAGGAAAGGGTAGAAAGAGGGGAAGAGACCTGGGAATGGCCAGTTACCCCTTCTACATATTTAAAGCATTTTAATAATGCATTTTCTGAGACAAAGTAAAGAGGGTGGAAGCCAGAGGGAGAGATTGAAGAGGTCAAGCGGGCAGGGGGGGGGGGGTGAAGTTGGGGGAGGAGGGAAATATGTATGTTTTCATACTACCACCATCAACAACTACCACCACCATCAACAACTACCACCACCATCAACAACTACCACCACCATCAACAACTACCACCATCATCAACAACTACCACCACCATCAACAACTACCACCACCATCAACAACTACCACCACCATCAACAACTACCACCACCATCAACAACTACCACCACCATCAACAACTACCACCACCATCACCACCACCATCAACAACTACCACCACCATCAACAACTACCACCACCATCAACAACACCACCACCATCAACAACTACCACCACCATCAACAACTACCACCACCATCAACAACTACCACCACCATCAACAACTACCACCACCATCAACAACTACCACAACTACCACCATCAACAACCACCACAACCACCACAACTACTACACCACCATCAACAACTACCACCACCACAACAACTACCACCACCACAACAACACCACCATCAACAACTACCACCACCATCAACAACTACCACCACCATCAACAACTACCACCACCATCAACAACTACCACCACCATCAACAACTACCACCACCATCAACAACTACCACCCATCATCAACACCACTACAACACCACCACATCAACAACTACCACCACCATCAACAACTACCACCACCATCAACAACTACCACCACCATCAACAACTACCACCACCATCAACAACTACCACCACCATCAACAACTACCACCATCAACAACTACCACCATCACCAACTCAACCATCACAACTACCACCACCATCAACAACTACCACCACCATCAACAACTACCACCACCATCAACAACTACCACCACCATCAACAACTACCACCACCATCAACACCTACCACCATCAACAACTACCACAACCATCAACAACTACCACAACCATCAACAACTACCACCACCATCAACAACTACCACCACCATCAACAACTACTACCACCATCAACAACTACCACCACCATCAACAACTACCACCACCATCAACAACTACCACCACCATCAACAACTACCACCACCATCAACAACTACCACCACCATCAACTACCACCACCATCAACAACTACCACCACCATCAACAACTACCACCACCATCACTACCACCACCATCAACAACTACCACCACCATCAACAACTACCACCACCATCAACAACTACCACCACCATACAACAATCAACAACTACCACCACCATCAACAACTACCACCACCATCAACTGCCACCCTCATCAACAACTACCACCACCATCAACAACTACCACCACCATCAACAACTACCACCACCATCAACAACTACCACCACCATCAACAACTACCACCACCATCAACAACTACCACCACCATCAACAACTACCACCACCATCAACAACTACCACCACCATCAACAACTACCACCACAACAACTACCACCACCATCAACAACTACCACCACCATCAACTACTACCACCATCAACAACTACCACCACCATCAACAACTACCACCACCATCAACAACTACCACCACCATCAACAACTACCACCACCATCAACAACTACCACAACCATCAACAACTACCACCACCATCAACAACTACCACCACCATCAACAACTACCACCACCATCAACAACTACCACCACCATCAACAACTACCACCACCATCAACAACTACCACCACCATCAACAACTACCACCACCATCAACAACTACCACCACCATCAACAACTACCACCACCATCAACAACTACCACCACCATCAACAACTACCACCACCATCAACAACTACCACCACCATCAACAACTACCACCACCACCACATCAACAACTACCACCACCAACAACTACCACCACCACTACCACCACCATCAACAACTACCACCACCATCAACAACTACCACCATCAACAACTACCACCACCATCATCAACAACTACCACCACCATCAACAACTATCACCACCATCAACAACTACCACCACCATCAACAACTACCACCACCATCAACAACTATCACCACCATCAACAACTACCACCACCATCAACAACTATCACCATCAACAACTATCACCACCATCAACAACTACCACCACCATCAACAACTACCACCACCATCAACAACTAACACCACCAACAACAACTACCACCACCATCAACAACTACACACCATCAACAACTACCACCACATCAACAACTACCACCACCATCAACAACTACCACCACCATCAACAACTACCACCACCATCAACAACTATCACCATCAACAACTATCACCACCATCAACAACTACCACCACCATCAACAACTATCACCATCATCAATAACTACCACCACCACCACCATTAACAACCACCACCACCACCATCAACAACCACCCACCATCAACAACTACCACCACCATCAACTACCACCACCATCACACCACCACCACACCACCACAACTACCACCACCATCAACAACTACCACCACCACCATCACCAACCACCACCACCATCAACCACCACCACCACCATCAACAACTACCACCACCATCAACAACTACCACCACCACTACACACCACCCACCAACCACCATCACCACCACACACACTACCACCACCACCACCACCATCAACAACTATCACCATCATCAATAACTACCACCACCACCACCATTAACAACCACCACCACCACCATCAACAACCACCACCATCAACAACCACCACCACCATCAACCACCACCACCACCATTAACAACCACCACCACCACCACCATCAACAACCACCACCACCACCATCAACCACCACCACCACCATCAACCACCACCACCATCATCAACAACTACCACCACCACCACCATCACCACCATCAACCACCATCACCACCATTAACAACAACCACCACCACCACCACCAACCACCACCACCACCATCAACCACCACCACCACCACCATTAACAACAACCACCACCACCACCATCAACAACCACCACCACCACCATCAACCACCACCACCACCATCAACAACCACCACCATCAACAACAACCACCACCACCACCACCATAAAAAACCACCATCACCACCATCAACAACCACCACCACCACCATTAACAACCACCACCACCACCACCATCAACCACCACCACCATCATTAACAACCACCACCACCACCATCAACAACCACAACCACCAACAACCACCACCACCACCATCAACAACCACAACCACCAACAACTACCACCACCACTACCATCAACAACCACCATCACCACCATTAACAACCACCACCACCACCATCAAGAACCACCACCACTATCAACAACCACCACCACCACCATCAACAACCACAACCACCAACAACCACCACCACCACCATCAACAACCACAACCACCAACAACTACCACCACCACCACCATCAACAACCACCACCACCACCATTAACAACCACCACCACCACCACCATCAACCACCACCACCATCATTAACAACCACCACCACCACCATCAACAACCACAACCACCAACAACCACCACCACCACCATCAACAACCACAACCACCAACAACTACCACCACCACTACCACCAACCACCATCACCACCATCAACCACCACCACCACCATCAAGAACCACCACCACTATCAACAACCACCACCACCACCATCAACAACCACAACCACCAACAACCACCACCACCACCATCAACAACCACAACCACCAACAACTACCACCACCACTACCATCAACAACCACCACCACCACCATCAAGAACCACCACCACCATCAACAACCACAACCACCACCATCAACAACCACCACCATCAACAACCACCCCCAACAACCACCACCACCAACAACCACCACCACCAACAACAACTACCACCCGGATATCCAATATTCAACAGGTCTTCTAACAACCATTTTGTAACCGGAGTTGGCCATTAAGGCAGTGGTAATTAACCGGCCAGAGAGGTCAACAATGGGGGTCGCGGTAGCAAATATACCGGATTAACCGGCCGGTAATCCTTATACCGGCCGGTAATCCTTATACCGGCCGGTAATCCTTATACCGGCCGGTAATCCTTATACCGGCCGGACTGACAGATTAGAGTAGTGAGCGACCGGCCATCCGGCCCAGTTGACCCCAACTGTCCTCCCAGGCCAGAGGGCCGAGGGGTGCCACCTGATCCTGGTCACGGGGTCAGTCGTCACGGGGTCAGTCGTCACGGGGTCAGTCGTCACGGGGTCAGCGTCACGGGGTCAGGCGTCACGGGGTCAGTCATCACGGGGTCAGTCGTCACGGGGTCAGTCGTCACGGGGTCAGGCGTCACGGGGTCAGTCGTCACGGGGTCAGTCATCACGGGGTCAGTCGTCACGGGGTCAGTCATCACGGGGTCAGTCGTCACGGGGTCAGTCATCACGGGGTGAGTCGTCACGGGGTCAGTCATCACGGGGTCAGTCATCACGGGGTCAGTCGTCACGGGGTCAGTCGTCACGGGGTCAGTCATCACGGGGTCAGTCGTCACGGGGTCGGTCGTCACGGGGTCAGTCGCCACGGGGTGAGTCGTCACGGGGTCAGTCGTCACGGGGTGAGTCGTCACGGAGTCAGTCGTCACGGGGTCAGTCGTCACGGGGTGAGTCGCCACGGGGTCAGTCGTCACGGGGTCAGTCATCACGGTGTCAGTCGTCACGGGGTCAGTCGTCACGGGGTCAGTCGTCACGGGGTCAGTCGTCACGGGGTCAGTCGTCACGGGGTCAGTCGTCACGGGGTCAGTCGTCACGGTGTCAGTCGTCACGGGGTCAACTCAAAGAACAACCTGTGACCTCGTCACAGGTTGACCCCAGCTGGCCCTCTCAGTGGACCCCAGGACCCCAGCTGGCCCTCACAGTAGACCTTGGGACCCCGGCTGGCCCTCACAGTGGACCCCAGGACCCCAGCTGGCCTCAGAGAGGACCCCAAGACCCCAGCTGGCCCTCACAGTGGACCCCAGAACCCCAGCTGGCCCTCACAGTGGACCCCAGGACCCCAGCTGGCCCTCACAGTGGACCCCAGGACCCCAGCTGGCCCTCACAGTGTACCCCAGGACTCCAGCTGGCCCTCAGAGTGGACCCCAAGACTCCAGCTGGCCCTCACAGTGGACTCCAGGACTCCTGCTGGCCCTCAGAGTGGACCCCAGGACTCCAGCTGGCCCTCACAGTGGACCCCAGGACCCCAGCTGGCCCTCACAGTGGACCCCAGGACCCCAGCTGGCCCTCACAGTGGACCCCAGGACTCCAGCTGGCCCTCACAGTGGACCCCAGGACTCCAGCTGGCCCTCACAGTGGACCCCAGGACCCCAGCTGGCCCTCACAGTGGACCCCAGGACTCCAGCTGGCCCTCACAGTGGACCCCAGCTGGCCCTCACAGTGGACCCCAGGACCCCAGCTGGCCCTCACAGTGGACCCCAGGACCCCAGCTGGCCCTCACAGTGGACCCAAGGACTCCAGCTGGCCCTCACAGTGGACCCCAGGACTCCAGCTGGCCCTCACAGTGGACCCCAGGACCCCAGCTGGCCCTCACAGTGGACCCCAGGACCCCAGCTGGCCCTCACAGTGGACCCCAGGACCCCAGCTGGCCCTCACAGTGGACCCCAGGACTCCAGCTGGCCCTCACAGTGGACCCCAGCTGGCCCTCACAGTGGACCCCAGGACCCCAGCTAGCCCTCAGAGAGGACCCCAAGACCCCAACTGGCCCTCCACATCATTGGGGTCCACAACCAGACGACCCTCCACATCATGGGGGTCCACAACCAGACGACCCTCCACATCATGGGGGCCACAACCAGACGACCCTCCACATCATGGGGGCCACAACCAGACGACCCTCCACATCATGGGGTCCACAACCAGACGACCCTCCACATCATGGGGGCCACAACCAGACGACCCTCCACATCATGGGGGGTCCACAACCAGACGACCCTCCACATCATGGGGGCCACAACCAGACGACCCTCCACATCATGGGGTCCCCACAACCAGACGACCCTCCACATCATGGGGTCCACAACCAGACGACCCTCCACATCATGGGGGCCACAACCAGACGACCTTCCACATCATGGGGTCCCCACAACCAGACGACCCTCCACATCATGGGGTCCCCACAACCAGACGACCCTCCACATCATGGGGTCCCCACAACCAGACGACCCTCCACATCATGGGGTCCCCACAACCAGACGACCCTCCACATCATGGGGTCCCCACAACCAGACGACCCTCCACATCATGGGGTCCCCACAACCAGACGACCCTCCACATCATGGGGTCCCCACAACCAGACGACCCTCCACATCATGGGGGTCCACAACCAGACGACCCTCCACATTATGGGGTCCACAACCAGACGACCCTCCACATCATGGGGTCCCCACAACCAGACGACCCTTCACATGCCATATCCCGTCCCACTAATCCCTCATCCCACATCTAATCATCCACCACGGACGAATAATCCATCACGCTAACCTGCAATAGTAGTGATGAATTGCATCTATGCAACTATCCTGCCGACTTTCCCCCCCCCCCCCCAAAAAAAAAAAAAATTCCAATTGACACCAAAGGGAAAAACTAGGACTCATGCGAGACACATCAAGGGTTTACTAAGCACTCGCGCTCACTCGAGTGCAAGCGAGAATTTCGCACAAATAACAAGTAATGTTTGGGAGATTAAAGAGTGCCATCTCGTCTCTCTGTTTGTGCAGAGTAACGAAGCTGAGTGTTACTGAAAGGTCGCCGAGGCGCTGAGGGGGAGAGTACAGGGGGACACAGGGCTGCTGAGGAGACAAATGATGAGGAAAACGTGCTGAAGAAAGGGTGCTGAGGACAGGGCGCTGAGGAGAGGGGGGGGGCTGTAACAACCCATTCTACAAAAGATTGTAGAATGGCTCATTACACCCTCTCTCTCATGTCTCTTTTGTACCATATCACCTCACCCAATAGAGTATAAGTACGATGAATTTGTGTGTAAATTAAGTCTTTGAAAATGTAATAAGCCATTACGAAACGCGTTCAGGCGTCAGACATATGTTTATATGTCTGCTTTCACTGAATGTTCCTGAATCCTGTTTTCACTGAATGTTCAAATCAGTGGGATGTTCTTGCAGCCCCAGCAACCATTATAGAGCCAACAAAACAACACAAACAGTCCGGCTGGGACCACCCTCTAGTGGAAAAAGTAGCTGATGCCATGCTCAGCGTCGCAACATCAGACAAGGAGAAAGCCCGCCTCAGAGCAGTGCGTGCCCCCCATGCAGGAGACTTCCTCCTGGCAGTACCCATGTCGGCAATGGGCACGCGCCTAGATCCAGAATCCCTTCGTGTAGCAGTGGCCCTCCGCCTTGGTGCCCCAATTCACACTGAATATAAGTGTATTTGCAACAGGGTGGAAGCAGACCAATACGGACTGCATGGGTTGCATTGCGGAAGCACAAAGGGCTGGCATGCAAGACACAACGAGGTCAATGACATCATCAAGAGAAGCCTCGTCTCAGCTGGGTGCCCAGCGGAGAGAGAACCTCGCATCCTAGGGGTCCAAAACCCGGATTTCCCCGCACTTCGCCCTGATGCCATCACCATATACTCATGGAAGGAGGGTAGACAGTTGGTGTGGGACTACACATGTGTATCCACCCTGGCTGACACCTATGTACACTTCGGAGCTGATCAAGCAGGTGGGGCGGCCAACCACAGGGAAACAGCTAAATCACTCAAGTACAGGCGACTGGAAGGTCCTCTTTGTTCCCATAGCGTCTGAGACGCATGGCCCCTGGGGCAAGAGTGCCTTGGGATTTCTCAAGAAATTGGGTTCCAAGCTCATTGACGTCACCAGAGACCCAAGGACTTCCAGTTTTTTGTTTCAGCGCCTCAGTGTGGCGATCCAGAGGGGAAATGCTTGCTGCGTCCTCGGTTCCTGTCCGGAAACGGAGGAGCTTCAAGAGATCCATAACCTTTAGGCATTTGTCTTGTGTGTCTTGTAACCTTTAAATACACAAATAAATAAATAAATATATATATATATATATATATATATATATATATATATATATATATATATATATATATATATATATATATATATATATATATATATATATATATATATATATATGTATGTTGTGCCTAGTAGCCAGAATGCAATACTCGGCCTACTATGCAAGGCCCGATTTGCCTAATAAGCCAAGTTTCCTGAATTTATATATTTGTCTATGATTTTTCCTTTGAAATGCTAAAGCTATCCATTTCATTATGTGTGTTATTTTTTTTTAATTTGATTTAAAACTAACATAGATATATGACGGAACCTAACCAACCCTACCTAACCTATCCTAACCTATCTTAACCTAAACTAGTCTAACATAACTAAGTAAATAATTTATGTTCTTAATATAATCTAATAACAATAATAAGGAAAAACCAATTTGAAATTATTTTTTGAAAATACAGAAAATCACTGGGCCTATTAGGAAAATCAGCGCTTGCATAGTAGGCCGAGAAGAGCGTTCTGGCTATTGTGTGTGTGTGTGTGTGTGTGTGTGTGAGTGTAAATCACGAAAATTAACACGTGACAGACAGACAGTCAGACACATCACAATCAACATATTACTAAACATTCTGAATGATAAACATACACATTCCTTCCTATACACATACAGTATGTTACCAGACGTATACACAAACACTTGTATGACTAGGTACATAGACAGTTTGCAATTGACATTCAGACAATTCAACAAAAGTTTATAATCTTGGTGCAAAATTCTCACAACTCTCCAGAATATCATCATCACTCCGTTGTGACACATCCAGGCTTGTTGTTCAGGAACAGTTCTCATCTCAGTGTTTCTATACACATTAGTCAACGGGCAGTCAAGAACATAATGGGTGAGGGTGTGAGACCTTAACATAACACATAACAACCCGTTCTCGCACTTGCGTATAGTCAATATATTGGCTTATTTAATAAGTGCATATGTGACATACTAATTGATTGTAAATATTTTAGTTTACCTTGAAAAGCTTCATAGAAAACACCGACCTCACCTAACCTTCTTAGTATGTTAAGATAAGCATCTTATTGCTTCTTAATTACAATTATTACTTAACCTATACCGTTGATAGGTTACAGTATAGTCAATTGTGTAATTGGTTATTACGTATAGTCAATATATTGACTATACGCAAGTGCGAGAACGGGTTGCACATAGTTTACACTCGGTATCATTATCAAGAACAACTATTCCATATTCCCAGTCATATGTGTACCCAAGCCACATGTGTATAGAGTCACTCCAAGCATTTCTCCTTTTACCATAAGTGGAATGTTGGTGTTTTGACTCACACACCTGTAGTGTTGCATGTCTTGACTTACACACCTGTAGTGTTCCATGTCTTGACTTACACACCTGTAGTGCTGCATGTCTTGACTTACACACCTGTAGTGTTGCATGTCTTGACTTACACACCTGTAGTGTTGCATGTCTTGACTCACACACCTGTAGTGTTGCATGTCTTGACTTACACACCTGTAGTGTTCCATGTCTTGACTTACACACCTGTAGTGTTGCATGTCTTGACTCACACACATGTAGTGTTGCATGTCTTGACTCACACACCTGTAGTGTTGCATGTC